TTAAAACTAAATAATTGTTACAGCTCTTTTAGAACTCTTTTAGGTTTTTACCAGAAAACCTCACATGCTATTAAAAAAATAAAGCTAAATAATTTGGAGGTTAATACCAATGAAACGTGTTTATTAAATATACTGTAAATGAGAGGGGTAACTAAGGACTGTTTCTTTTTTTTCTTTTTTTTTTTTTTTTGAAGAATTTATCTTTTATTTTGTTGACCCCTACAGAATAAGTCATCTTAGTATATAACTTACTTACTCTAACAATGTTGCTGTTGTACAAAATATTTTTGGAAGTAGCTTAAGTTGTCTTTCTGTGACCTTAGCAAGGAAACTTCCTCAGGAAAGAAGCTATTTAGAATTATAAAAAAGATGCTAATTAAGATATTATAGATAAGAAAGTGATGGGGAAAGGTGAGAAAAACAATTCAGATTAAGAGAGTTCACCACCAGTTAGAAGAGACTTCTACAGAATGCAATGGAAAAAGCCTCATGGCTGCCTTAAGAGTATATTAAATGAGTAAGAATATTACAATTAAGAAACAAGAAGGAGGGAATTGTCATATGGTGAGAGCGGAAAACTAGGTTGATATAGGAAAGAAAATACCAGAATAGTTCAGAGGTAGCTGAGTTCCCATCGTAGTATTTCATGTCATTGTTTCCCTGGCTTCAGGAGAAAAAGACAGTAAAGACAAAAAGAATTCTTTTTTAACTTAGGGACCCAAACACTAAATCTATTCCATTTCTTCTCAACTACGAACTGCTCTTTAAAATGAAATCCTGCCCAAATAAGAGGTTTCTTTTGTTTTGTCTGTTTTACTAAAGTGTACAGGAATTCAAAGGAAAGCATCTATTATTAATGATTTTTCTTCTCTTTATGGAAGTGTACCCAGTTTGAGAAATTAAAAGAATTAAAATTCAAAAAATATAGGATTGGAAGAAAAAGTAGAAAACTATCAAAGTATGTAAATTCCACTTTGGGCTGGGCATGGTAGCTCATGCCTGTAATCCCAGCACTTTGGGAAGCTGAGGTAAAACGATCACTTGATCCCAGCCTGGGCAACATAGCAAGATCCCATCTCTGATTTAAAAAAAAAATCCAATTTGACTTATCCAGTAGAGATTTTGATTGTCAGACCGTCAGCACAATTCCAAAAAAAAATCATATACTATATCACATTAAAAATTAAATGGAAAACAATGGTTAAGGAAGAGAATGTAATTCTTCACCCCTTCATTACCTTCTAGACCATTAAGCATTTAAACCAGATTAGCTGGGGGTAAATAATTAGCAATACAAAGTAGACTGAGGACATGAAATTTCAGGTTGTAATTTTGAAAGAAAAATAAACCTTTGTTTAGTATTTACTACTATTTTCTCTTGAATTTTTAATGATTTCTCTCCTTATTTCCTATCTTTAATTAATTTTTTTTCATACTGTACATTATCATCAACTGTTGAAACCTGATCAAATGGTAAGAGCTCTGTTAAGACAAGAAATACGTACTATCTTGTATCTGTATTCCACAGAGAATGCTATATCCTTTATTTCAATTCAAATGATTTACTGTGATTACCAGTCAGGTCACTCAAGAATGCATATAACTTAATTCCTAGAGGTAGATACAGATTTTTTAATAAAAGGTTATATGGTAAAAAAGATCTTTGTCTAGTTCTTTATAGAATTCCCCTATATGTTCATCTATTCATGAGACAAAAATTTAAGCACCAACAGTATTCCAGGCACTTTATTAAGTATTAGATATAGCTATACCTTAGAAGAGAACAGAAAACGTTATCTTGCTTCTTACGGTGTCATCCAAATGTCCCTACAGAGGCAAAATCACCCACACTTGAGACCCACCGCTCTAAATGGAGCAGTGGCCTAGGACATAGTTCTAGGCCATCAGATCTTCATCAGTGCACTGGGTACACTCATTCTTCTCATCTAAGAAGTGATCTAGAAACCAAGCAGAGTGGGAAAGAAAGTATTTTGAGCATCTGTCTCTTCTGAGCAGGGACAGATCCAGGTTTAGTAGAATCTAAACATTTTCACAGGCCCTCTTTAAGAAAAAAATTTTAAAAAACATACAACTATGAACTTAAGTATATATGCAGATGACTATGAGTGACAAATATGTCTCATTTATCCCAAACCAAATGTAAGCTCATCTTTTTTTTTTTTTTTTTTTTTTCTTTTTTTTTGAGACAGAGTTTTGCTCTGTTGCCCAGGCTGGAGTGCAATGGCGCTATCTCAGCTCACCGCAACTTGTGCCTCCCAGGTTCAAGTGATTCTCCTGCCTCAGCCTCCCCAGTAGCTGGGATTGCAGGCATGGGCCACCATGCCTTGCTAATTTTGTGTTTTTAGTAGAGACAGGGTTTCTCCATGTTGGTAAGGCTGGTCACAAACTCGTAACCTCAGGTGATCGCCCTCCTCGGCCTCCAAGTGCTGGGATTCTAGGTGTGAGCCACTGCGTCCGGCCTATAAGCTCATCTTTAGCCAAATCTCCAAAATGCCCTTTGCCACTCACATTATCACCTACCAGCTCAAGGGCAAATCAGAATGGAAAGAGACAGCAGTCGTAACCAGTTGATTACAATTGAAATACATTACTTTGTATAATTTTACCCACAAAAAACTATGGGAATGCTTTCGTATAGCTTCTTCTAGGGCCTTGAATGGGGCCTATGCAAGAGGAAGCCCTAAATTCTCCTCTAAGGAAAATACCATGTAACATGCCCCAGTCTAGGACCAGTAAAACCAGATACTGAAGGATAGACATTCCTTACCACTTCCAGGCCCAGGTTCCCTGGTTGCATCAAAGTATCTCTCCCAGCTGGGCACAGTGGCTGATACCTATAGTCCTAGCGTGTTGGGAGGCCAAAGCAGGTGGATCTCTTGAGCCCAGGAGTCCGAGATCAGCCTGGGCAACATGGTGAAAGCCTGTCTCTATAAAAAATACAAAAAAAAATTAGCTAAGTGTGATGGTGTGCACCTCTAGTCCCAGCCACTTGGGAGGCTGAGGTGGGAGGATTGCTTGAGTCCAGGAGGTGGAGGTTGCAGTGAGCCAAGATCATGTCACTGCACTCCAGCCTGGGTGACAGATCAAGACTGACTCAAAAAAAAAAAAGTATCTGTGTCCATACCTGTGAAAGAGGAGAATAACACTCCTCCTCAGAGAGCTAAGTTGAGACCCACTGATCAGTATTTCTGGGTCATTTCTAGAGATGATAAAAGCAGACAGATGACCACAGGTTCAATATGACTTTTGATTCTCCTCTTGGCAAATACATTCCTCAAAAGCTCTCAAAGGAATATTAATTGATGTTTCATTGTTGATAATCATAACTATTATTTACCGACTGCCTTTTGTATACCAGGTACTCCATTCTTTTTGTATACCCCGATTGAAAACTTACAGAAAACTGAGATTTATCCTTACTTTACAAATGAAGAAAGTGAGATATAGAGAGGTTAAGTAATTTGTTAAGTAAATGATAATTGTTAGAAATCTATAATAAAAAGCCTTTTTAATAATTTTTTTGAACCAGTGTTAAGATAATGATTGTTAGGTTTTGAAGGGAAGGTGAGAGTTAAAGAAAGACACAGAAAGAGGGCAGCTCAAGAGCAAATGCAAGCTTTTTGTCCAGCATAAAACCTACAGAAGTGGGGGACCAGCCTAATGCCAGAGCCCATCAGCTGCTTACAGGCTGTGGGTACTTACAGGTATGGGCGGGAGGGGTCTGGGCAGTATGGCCCACTGTCTGGCAGGATATTGATAAGATGTTCCCATGATGAGGTGGTTCTGGCCCTTGTACTGGTGGGATGTCTTCGTGGTGTTCCTTGGACCTTTATCCAGCAAGATATGATAAGGATCTTTCTTTCTTTTTTTTTTTTTTAAAGTTGGAGTCACTCTCATTGCCCAGGCTGGAGTGCAACGGTAAAATCTCAGCTCACTGCAACCTCCACCTCCTGGGTTCAAGCAATTCTCTTGCCTCATCCTCCAGAGTAGCTGGGATTACAGGCGCCCGCCACTGTGCCCAGCTAATTTTTTGTATTTTTAGTAGAGATGGGGTTTCACAGTGTTGGCCAGGCTGGTCTCAAACTCTTGACCTCAGGCGATCCACCCGCCTCAGCCTCCCAAAGTGCTGGGATTACAGACGTGAGCCACCGCACCTGGCGTGATAACGATCTTTCTATAGTGGTCAGGTGGTGGTAGGCAGGATGTTTCCCAGGTCCCGAACCCCTGTGAAATGTTGACTTTGACCACAGTCTGCAAAATAGCAGGGAGCTTACAAAACGGTGCAGTTTGGACTAACAACGATTACTTTGTAAACTAGATTATTAAACTTCTGGTTGTATTCTTATTTGTAGAGATAAAATCCTGAAGCTGTTTTTGGGTTCTGCATGTTTAATACCTTAATAAGTTTTGGCTTAAAGCCTGGGGGAATACTTTCTGACTGGCAATAACAGAATTTTTACATGGAATCCTTTGAGGAATAATTCCATGATCCATTATCCTTCCTTTCAGATACAGGTTTTAAGTGTAAATTTCTTTCCTCCTGCTGTACTGTACTGTATCCAAAAATACTGTGGCAGGTGCTCTGCTGTGACATCTGGTTGGAAAGGTTTCTGAAAATACTTGTGATTGAAAAGGATTTTGTTACCATTTTTAGTGTGCGACAGCAATAAAGCAGACCCTAATGACTACATTATTCTAACTAAAAATAGTCTGGGCCACACCATTCTAAACCCATCTTTGGGTTTCCAGTCTGATAATGATATCTAAAAGATCATTGTGTGTAATAATAACACATGTAAATAATACTTTATGCTGTTTCTTCTCATACTCTTAACTTTATGAGTATAGTCACCAGTTTCAAATGTACGTGACTTAAAAAATTCAAGGGATTTTTAGTAGAGAATTAGACGACTTTTTACCTGACATTTTATTTAACATTATGTTAACACATAATGTAATAGTGTATTCTTTCTGTTTAGATGTTTGGAAACTGGACATTTGGCACTTTGGTCTTCACAGTCATGGTTATTACAGTCACAGTAAAGGTATGGTACTGAAATTAGAAATGTGGACACATTTTGCAACTGTTTACATAATTAGTTAATTTTCTTCATTTCTTTAGCCGTAGATACTTTTCCTTTTTCCATTTTCAAAAACGATTAATTTCACTGATTACTATTTTAATAATTCACTTAAATTTTTGTCAAAAGTTATTTTTAAAGTTTATCTTAGGAAGCCTCAACTGATTTTTATGATCACATTTTTAAAAATCTCTAAAATTTTGCTTCTCTGTGTATAGTGCCAGACAGCGTAATTTGTTTTAGGCCATGGAGTTGAAAATAGAGTAATCACGTGAAATTTGAATGCTGCTTCCTCAAAGAAGAAAAATATTATAAACTTGAAATTATTTCATTTTATGCTAGGACCTTTTCATTCATATTTATCTCTGAGGGATTTTGAGGGATTATATCTGTCTTCTGAGGGACTTTTAGATATTTATGTTTATTCTTGAGTTTTATCTGAAAAGTTAAGGTAAAGCTTTATTTGTTTATATTTCTAAGGATATAAAAACTTTTTTTTTAGATGGCTCTGGAAACCCATTTTTGGACTTGGATCAACCATCTCGTTACCTGGGGATCTATTATATTTTATTTTGTGTTTTCCTTGTTTTATGGAGGGATTCTCTGGTGAGTGAATATGTTGTATTTTAAATGGATTGCTTTGACATAATAAACCTTTATTGTGATAGGTTACATTATGAACATATTCTGCTCATAACAGATTTGAGACTCCTGGTAAGTTTACTTCTTTCAGTTGATCTTACTGATATGGAGAGGAAAAAACTAACATTTATTGAATATCTACAATTTTTCTAGATTTTCTGTGTAAGATATTATATTGATTCATCACAATCATTATCCCTGTTTTTTTCTGTGTAGAAACTAGCCTCAGGGTCACAAAGACAAAAAAGTAGCAAAGCCACGATTTAAACCCCAGTTGTCTTATTTCACAGTTAATTTTCTTTACACTAGTTATATTATGTATTAATGTATTATGTATTAATATATACAATAAAGTAAGTCACACAGAACAATTAAATATTAATCATTCACTTTTCTCACAAAAGTAAGTAGTATGCATCATCTTCATTGATAGAATCAGATACTCAACTGGCTACTCTGAGAGATTAAAAATTAATGTTTCTCCTAAGATTCTTTGGTAACTGATGGATAACTGAAGGCTCTCTTTTGGAGAATTTATATTACATTTGCCTGCTATGTCTTTGATTCATCTATCAGACAAAAAAACTTCTGAAGGTAGGTAGGCCAAAAAAATTTGGATTAGCTAAACATTAGCTTCTAGTTAGGATCATAAAAGGATATTATGAATGTTTCTATATTTCACCATATTCTTTTGAGGTAGTATATACAAAAACCCAAAAAGAATATCTTTATAACACCTACTACTATGTAAAACTAGTATTTGTGAGTACATTAATTTTAAAATATGTTTTTGAAGAAGAGCTTCTGAATAAAGCTTTCATTCTAAGATTTGGATAATCAGTCTTCTCAGATATTTTGTTACACCCTTTTTCTTGCTTTGCTTGGTCCCTTAAGTCTGTATTAGTACATTATTCTTCTGATACGCTACCACTAAGATAGGGTTATCTGGTCAACTGCTTGCCATTTTCCTAATAAAAACTATAGTTGTTTTATTTTTAACAATTAAAGCTTATCTTGTTTTGTTAGTTGTTCAGTTAATTAAGTTATACCGATTTCAGTTTTGAACATTTTCTTGGAGTACTTGTTACGTTCAACTGTAGTGTCTTTATATGATGTCCTGATTTAAGTCTTTCAGTTTCCACTTTTATTAAGCACATTGTCTTTCTTTGCAGGCCATTTTTGGGCTCCCAGAATATGTACTTTGTGTTTATTCAGCTCCTATCAAGTGGTTCTGCTTGGTTTGCCATAATCCTCATGGTTGTTACATGTCTATTTCTTGATATCATAAAGAAGGTATTTGACCGACACCTCTACCCTACAAGTACTGAAAAGGCACAGGTAACCACTTTTTGTAATAAATTCATTATCTTTTTAGTTAGGGATCTTTAATGATGAATAGCTGTCATAATTTGCTTATGTCAGAAAATAGGAAATTAGCCATTCCTGTTTCAAGTATTTTGTAACATAAACATTGTTCAATGTGATATTTTTAAAGTTATTTCTTACTATTTCTATTAATTTTATGACTACTGATAAATTATTTTTTAATTACATTGTGTTAATAAAACTTGATGTTTTTAGATATGAAACTATCAAGTTATATCCAGATAATAGTAAATATTTTTAAAGTAATATCACAACATTCTATCATATATATATATAATGAAGATCTATAGCCATGTCTTTAGAAACATAATAATTTGAGGAATTTTTCTTTTTTTTTTTTCCGAGATGGAGTCTTGCCCTCACCCAGCCTGGAGTGTAGTGGCACGATCTTGGATCACTGCAACCTCTGCCTCCTGGGTTCAAGCAGTTCTCCTGCCTCAGCCTCACGAGTAGCTGGGATTACAGGCACTTGCCTCCACACCTGGCTATTTTTTGTATTTTTAGTAGAGACGGGGTTTCACCATTTTGGCTAGACTGGTCTCGATCTCCTGACCTCGTGATCCTCCTGCCTCGGCCTCCCAAAGCACTGGGATTACAGGTGTGAGCTACTGCACCTGGCTGAGTAATATTTTTCTGATCATATTATTTTCACCAAAAAAGTATGAAATGGGGTCTTTAACCTCAATAATTTGTACAGAATAGAATTTTTAAAAACATATTATCTCACTAAACATTTATTAATAAATATTAAACTACAGCAAATATTAGCAGTATGTTACATAGTGCTTAAGAATCTTGGGGGCCTGATAGATCTCAGTTCAAATCCCAGGTCTTCCATTTGGTATCTCTGTGACTTTAAATCTCAGTTTCCTCATTGGTAAAATTATGATAGAAATATCTTTTGTATTACCTTTCTAGTGAAGATTAAATGAAAAAATTTCCAAATACATAGTAGATGCTCAAAAATTGTAGCTATGTAGTTGAATGTGCCTCTTTTATATATTTAACTAGTACCTGAGCTAGAAATCTCTCAATTTGTCCTTTTAACTATATTGTAGTATTAGATAAATACTCTCAAAATATATTCTAGCCAACTCTTATGCCCTGAGTTTATTAATCATTTAGTTCTTCCCAGGTTGAGATTTTTTAAACACGCTTGTAACATGCCAGATGAATTTTGGAAATTTAGTTGTATATTCATCCTACAAATAGAAAAACTACTTCCTAAACATTTAGTGATGTAAGTTAGGCTTCCTGACCAGTGCATTAGTTTTAATTTCAGTTGGTCATGTCCACAACATTTCTTTAGCATTTGTTTGCTTCAATAACCAAATCCTAGCCAGTATACACATTCACACCATTGAGACAGCATAGGCTTGTGAAGCCTGACAAACTTGAATTCAGATATTGTTTCAACAGTTCATATGTATGTCCTTGATCAAGCACTTCATAAGCCTCAGTTTCCTCCTCTATAAAATCAGATAAATAATTACTACTTTATGTGGTTGTTAGGGATAATGAGTATGAAGTGCCTCACACTGAGCCTGTATATAGTTGATCCTCAGTAAAACAGTTATCATTGTAAGTAAAATGAGGATGAGAATGTTACCCTGTCATACTGATCTCCAACTGGGGCTAAAAAAATTTGCATAATCTGATTCCTCTATCTGTCCATGCATATATATTTATATCAGTGTGGACAGACTTTTCCACTCTGCAACATATTACTTAAACATATATCAGAAAGTTTGCCTAGCTTACTATTCCTAATCTTCTGGAAAAAAAATTTACAATAAAAGAGTACTATTTTTAAGGCTTTGTTCATTATACTTACTCTAGATCTTTATGGAGAATACTTTGTCTCCCTGTTTTGACCTAAATATAGTTATATTTCACCAAAATATATGGATGGCATTGTTTTAAAGACTTAATTCTTGAGGCTGGGTGCAGTGGCTCACACCTGTAATTCCAGCACTTTGGGAGGCCGAGGCAGGTGGATGGCTTGAGCTCAGGAATTTGAGACCAGCCTGGCCAACATGGCGAAAGCCTAGGTCTCTACTAAAAATTAAAAAAATAGGCTGGGCACGGTGGCTCACACTTGTAATCCCAGCACTTTGGGAGGCTGAGGCAGGTGGATCACGAGGTCAGGAGATGGAGACCATCCTGGCCAACATGGTGAAACACAGTCTCTACTAAAAATACATAAAAATTAGCCGGATATGACGGCGGGCACCTGTAGTCCCAGCTACTTGGAAGGAGAATTGTTTGAACCTGGGAGGTGGAGGTTGCAGTGAGCTGAGATGGTGCCACTGCACTCCAGCCTGGGCAACAGAGTGAGACTCCGTCTCAAAAAATAATAATAAATAAAAATTTAAAAACATAAATTAGCCAGGCATGGTAGCACACTCCTGTAGTCCCAGCTACTCAGGAGGCTAAGGCACAAGAATCTCTTGAATCTGGGAGGCAGAAGTTGCAGTGAGCCAAGATTGCGCCAATGCCACTCCACCTTAGGCAACAAAGTGAGACCTCCGTTCACAAAAAAAATATATACTTAATTCTTTAAGAGTAAATATAGGTTCAGTATCCTTTATCCAAACTGCTTGTTTCAGATTTCAGATTGTTTAAAGAGTACTTGCATTATACTTATTGATTCAGCATCCTTAATAAAAAATCTGAAATGCTTCATTAGCATTTCTTTGAGCATCATGTCTACACTCAGAAAGTTTCAGATTTTGGATTTTGAGATTGGAGATACTCAACCAGATTTAATTTTGATGTCCCATTTTTTATCTTGCCTTAATTTGTATTGTAAATACATCAGATTTATTTATATGTATCCTTAGAAATTCTACTTAGGCAGAGAATTTGCAAACTTACACGTGTTCGTAGAGGTTTCTTAATATATAAAAGGTGATAATATTAGTTCTTGTTACCTTTCGGTAGCCTCTTTTTAAAGTAATACATAGGAATTTTGGACTACCTTAAGGTAGGCCGTTAACAAGTTGAAAGTTAAAAGTGCTTATACATATTTTTGGTTCTTTCACTATAAGCTAAAATTGGTTTAGTCTATTTGATTAAAAATGGAATGTACAGTGGATCAATCATTTTATCTATGTATAAAAGCTAGTATGGTCTTCCTTCTTGGCTCTATAAATTTACTTCTAAATGACTTAACTGGATGTTCTAGGTGTCTAATCCAAGAAGGAAATCTCTGCTTCACTCAGGGATCTTCTAGCCTGCTGGGGTTGGTGTATTTTTTCCTTTCCTTTTTTTTTTTTTTTTTTTTTTGGCTGAAAACAGTATATGGTCATTGAAATCCTGTATGTAACATTATTCCTTTGTTATGGGCAGTAATCATTATTTTAGCTTTATGTCATTCCTGATTTCAAATGATGGAGAAATGGCTAGAAAACTGTCAGCACTTCATTGTTTACCAAAAGTAGCAAGAAAAATCGTATCAAAGGAGAAGCTGTCAGCATGTTTTCTGAGCCTTGTTTTTCTCCAGAATAACAATGTGGTGTTTAAGAGTGAATAAAAATTTTTTTGATGGCACAGCCAACAACCCTACAAATGGTAGTCATGTATGTGTATCACGTATGATATTTATTCCTCCTGTAGGAACAGATGTATTACAAAGCGTGTCCTGTGTCTGTCTCTTAGGTGATGAATACAGCTCACTGACTTGTTGTGGTGTCCATCCCTTTTCTGTCACTTATAGATGTACTCCCAACACAGTTGCTTTAAGTGACGAGTTCATCGCACTGCAGCCATTGTCGAGGGCAAGGAATCAGCTGAGCAAACTTAGGTAGAGTAGGAGGAGTAGAACCTCATTAACTCTTCTGCATGCTAAAGGTCAATTAAACAATATCAAAAGATGGGCAGAGGCATGAATAAAGAGTGGGGCATTTTTGTTAGCATGGCCTTGTCTCTGGCTAATTTGACCTTTATTAACATATATGTTAAAACCTAAAAAAAAAAAAAAAAAATCCATTTCTTCTTTGAGAAGAAAATTCAGATAAAAATTCAACATGATCACAGAACAGAGATCTATACCTTGTTAATATATTTTTACACCTTAACTATCTTTTCTAGTACAACTCTAATGCTTCTGCTTGTCATGTTATTCATATTTAAGAATGCTCCTGCATGTTGAGTAATTAAAGCTACATATTTGGAAGTGAGAGTTGCCCATTTTTTTATCTTGCCTTAATTTGTATTGTAAATACATGTGCATATTTATGTTTGTATACTGTAATGGCTGCTGAAGCATTTCATATCCTGGCTACTATTTAGTGCATCTATAAATTGAACAATGTGTGTGTATGTCTTATCTTTATCTCCACAGACAGATGCATTCTGTCAGTTTGTACAAAAAATAATAATATAGAGATGTCTTTTGATAGAAAGGGATGAAAGCTTAAATTCTAGGATTTTTTATATTAAGATACTAAAACTACGTATTAAGTATGGTTTGAAGGGGAAAAGTAATATAACTTATTATTTTTCTTTTTAGAAATTGGCACTTTTCCATTTCTTGCTCTATTGGTTTCTTACAGATTCTTAATCGTGTATTTTTTAAAATTCTTTTTTATTCTCAAGGTTTCTAATCTTTATGTTCATTTGAATTTTAAATTCTTTTTTATTCTCAAGGTTTCTAATCTGTGTTTTTCTGATCAAATGAATGGCTTTTACAAAGCACCACTTAAATCACCTTTTATAAAACTCTGTAAGTTCATAATATTGAACCATTTAAAGATTTATTAAACCTTTCAGGTTATTATTAACTTCAACTTTAAAAAATATTCTATTTCAAATTACAATGGTGTAATAATTACAGATGAGTACACAAATGGGTGTTTAAGTGGTAGTCAACTAAATTTTATATTTAAAATGAGAACTAAATTAAAACAAAGATTTACCTTCACTTTTGGCTCAGCCAAATAGGTGTATCA